CTGATAGATATCGCCTTCATTGCACTGCACCCATTATCAATGTCACAACCGTATCACCTTTATCATTTGCAATCTTAAAGCTGCATCATCATGTCAAAGAGCAAGTCGAATCTATTAGGTTGTTCGGAAAGTAATGCGGGTTTTCGACCTCCATATTCAAAGGGGCATATTTTCACTCAAATTGAACATTTTTTGTCGGTACAAAAAGTGTTGGAAAGCACTAATCTTTCTTAACAAAATGCGCACTCAGATGTCCTTCCCACATTAAATCAGCGCTTCTGGAGGCGATGATATCGTCGAGCATCATTTTCACATCAGTTTGAACATTGAAGCATTTCTTACTGAAGAAGTTGACGAGATGGTTGGAAAAGGGGTAATGGTGAGTAAGAGGGAGGACGTGTGGATCGGAGCTTCGTACGCCAGTTTGTTCAATACTTGCTAGGTCGTTTATGGGACGTGTGGCCGAGCGCCACCATGAAGGAGGCTTTGTTTACTTCTCTCGGTTGACGAACTTGATGTTTCTAGAGCATCTCATCGGTATGCTGGAGAGACATTGGTGTTGTGTCAAATCCACCTGGTTTCCAAGAGCTGGGTTGGATCAGCCCCGTGGAAGACTGCCGAATGTTGAGCTCAACTTTATTCTTCTATAATTTCGGCTTTGGAGAAGTTTTTGGAGATTCATCGCGGTCAAACTATTGAAGAGATGGCTTTCTGTAATCGTAAGAGTCCATTTTCCGTCGTAGATGACAACGCATACCGAATACTAATAGTTTTTGATACGTAACTGGTGGGAACGACTCCTTGGGAAGACGGTGTTGCTGCTGCTTCAGTCAGCCCATGCGGAAGCCACCTGTTCAGCTTTTTCACCTCTTCAATTATCTTCAGGAGCCACAATATTTTCAATATACCTACTTCTAGTCCTACTGCTTGCTATAGCACAGTTAGACTGGAATCATCTTCTACGGGAATCTTCAGAAGGCCGTCCTCAACAGCAAGGCATGCTCATGACTCCCCTCAACTTCACTATGGAATTCTTCTGAACCAAAAGTTTGGAGCCAAGGCTGTGCTGCGCTTCTGGAGGTGCTTCTTCGGCCCCATCCTTCAATGTTACTTCGACAGGTCTACTGGGCACTACGTCAGAGTTTCAGCACATCGAAGAAAACTTGCCAAACCACTGTGTTGACACCTTCATTTCAACTCTATAAAAAGTATAACAAGTAAAACTGAAATTCAAATATACTGGAGGAAAGAAGATAGAATATGCTTGCCAATGATATATAGGGCTTCAGGTCTCAAAAGAAGTTTCAGTATAAAAATATTCCAAGTATGCAAGGCATCTCGAAACCCGCATTACTTTCCGAACAACCTAATAGTAAACCTTTTTCTTTCTGTAAATACGACTGTAAACCAATCTCTCTCCGTAACACACTCTTTGTGAGAGATCTTCTTTGCAAATTTTATCTCTGTGCTCAACTTACTATCTCTCACGGAAGTCTCTTTTAAGCACACTTAAGATTGCTATTCCTTAGTCGGTCCAACTGTCCTTGCCAACCAATCTACTCCGATACAATTAGCAATTCCTCAGAAGACACTTGAAACGTCTATTGGATGGATGTTACAACTTCAACTGTTATCAGAATGTTACAACTTGAGAAGTCTATTGGATGTGTGTTACAAGTAGAACAAAAGGATTCGCCTGAAGTCACTCATTTCCGCAATGCCAGGACCGGTCTGTGGGGGTATAATTTCCCTTTCTTTGTAGACCTCCACCCAAGAGCTATTTGCGACTTCAAATTTTCCCACAACTACCACTTCCAGGGAGGTTTTAAGGCATTTTATGCGAAGCGTACATTAGCCGTCTAACCTTGAAAACCAACTAGTACTACGCACACGTTTCGTAGTTCGTCGAGGAGTGTATATGTGCAAAATCACAAAGCACTAGATGAGGTCAAGGGCGGGGCCAGACCACCAGCCTCTCTCTCTCTCTTACCTGCCTCCGATTGTGGCGTTCCATAAAAACAGTTCTGGTCGTGCACTTGAAGAGTGCTATGTTGTAAAATGACCACGGAACGATGCCTATTTAAATGAGGCCGTCGGCCACAGAAAGCAGACACTCACAGCGGCAACGCGAGCAGCTCCGACAAGGACAGCTGGGTAAGTTCAACATCTGCTGGCATTCATTCGGCGGCTTTCTAGATCTCGTCCCTTTAGGTGGACCTTTTCCAGGATATGGGCTTAAACACTCTCGTGGCCGGCGTTGCCGGTGTGGCTGCCGTCGTCACCACGTTGAGCCTCATCACTGTCGCCTATCTTGTTAATGATATTAACAATTTTTACGACGATGCAATCGAGGAGCTCGCTGATTTCAAGGTGGTTATAATTATGTGATTATAATAACAGTAGAGCTAGCGTGTAATCTGCTCAAATAATTTATATTAAGGACCTAGCGAATTCTGCCTGGCACGAGATGCGACCGAGCCCCATGCTAGCCCTTCGGCAACCCCGTGCCATCTTCGTCCGCGAGCGTCGTCAATATCCCGCATTTCCCGCACACTGCAATTGCGGACCACAAGTGGGTGGCTGTCCAGCGGGACCGCCAGGTCCTCCCGGACCTCCAGGAATACCGGGAGATCGAGGAATGCCAGGACCACCAGGTCAGAGAGGCAACGATGGTATCAGAATTTCCCCATACGGAGGGCCAACCGGCTGTATCCAATGCCCTATGGGCCCACCAGGTGCCCCTGGTCTCGATGGGCCTCCAGGCCCACCAGGACCAAACGGAATGCCTGGTAGCCCCGCCTATGCTGCTGCAGCTGGAATGCCAGGACCACCTGGACCACCGGGAGACGCTGGCATGCCTGGAGCTCCAGGAATGGCTGGCGCTCCAGGACTACCAGGAGCGGACGGAACTAGATCGACACCGTTACCTGGACCTGCGGGAGCACCTGGTCCAATGGGTCCTCCTGGACCGCCTGGAATGGATGGGCAAAGTGGCGGCCCTCCCCTCCCTGGACCACCTGGACTTGGTGGACCTCCTGGTCTTCCTGGTCCTCCTGGACCCGATGGAATGCCAGGCGAACCTGGTTTGCCGGGTGCCCCTGGCGTTGACGGTGAATACTGTCCATGCCCTCCGAGGAGCGCTGCATTTATGAGGAAGAGCGTAGCAGCAGCGGTGAACAGCTATACCGCGACTCGTAACTATGGAACATCCTCAGTCGACTTCAAACATAAGATGAACGCAATCAAACGAACTGCCAGAAGATTCGCTACTGCCAGGAAGCGCGCATCGAGAGTATGAACCACTCAAGAGCTTCGATTTTTACCCTACCAATTCTTGCTCACTCTTGTGGCATATAATGAAGTACACCTTCATGTAGCAATGAACTCATGTTTAATTTCATATGAACGTTGTCAACTAGCCGATAAATCTTCAAAAAACGTTGAAGTTCAAAGGAAATTAGAGTTGCAGCAATCAATCCATACCTTAAGAATGTTGACAGGTTCTACGCAACGTTTCAAGCAAAGAAAGAGCTTGTGTTCGCTAAAAATCCATTTCTGAGCTGAAATCCATCCATAAGGTGAAAATTTAATGAACCGCATCTCATTTGCTTGTATTAAAAAGCTGATGGCTAGTGAATATAAAGGATAAAGGATAAAGCATTTGCCGTTGATCAATCCCTTTTTGGGATGCGGCACGCATTCTACTTCCATTTGTACATTCCGGGCCAGCCGATGTTCAAGTCAGTGTTTTTATCCTCCCAGACAAGTCTGGTACCAATTAACCGACCCCGGAGGGATGGAAGGCTTGGTTGGCCCGGGCGACTCACGACCCAGGATTTGATCCCCGGACCGCTCGCGTGGTAAGCGTGCCACTTGCCACTACACCACTTCCGCCCTAGTGAATATAAGGCCAAATAATTATTTCAAAACCTCTTTTTGTGATCAACATATCACTGTTACAAACCCGCATCGTTTTCAGGGCAAACCCTTTTGTTTGATGGTGCACACATCCTCCCTCCTTACCTGGTTACCTGTAAGGAATCTCCAACTTCCTTCCCGCGGTCAGAGAGCGTCAAAAAAGCAAAAAATAAAGAGATATAAAGGAGGTTTAATTAGGGCGTTACAAATCGTTCTTGAGATGCGACAAGCATTCTGCTCCATTCAGAATCGATATAGCATTTGAATCGTGGCCAGAGGGGTCTTAGCGAGAGTTCAGGCCTACAATGACTGGAGAAGACCAGCCAATGCGCAGGGCAGCGTTTTTATTCTCCCTAGGACAAAACTAGCACCTATTACCCAAACCCTGGTGAACGGAAGAAGATTTGGTTGGCTTGGTGGTATCCGATCTGAGATCTGACGCTTGTCCTCTAGGTATGCTGCGAGAGCGGCCTCCGCCGATAGACCACTTCCGTCCCAAAAGCAGCATAATGTTGCAAGTTATTGCTATTCTCATCCGTGGTCTGGTCTCATTCCATGGTTACGCTTTGTTTTCCTTTGATGGCACATCGTTCAGAGCTTATGAAACCTGTCCTCTGAAGCGCTCTCATAAATCTGGATCATGTTCTCATTTCCTCACTATTCTGGCAACCTCAGCCAATAGCAACCAAGATGCTTTGGTTGTGAAGTTGATGCTTGTTTCGTTGCCATGTGAGGTTGTTAAGGGTTTAACGACGTTGCTAACAAGTGTGATTGTTGAGGGGTAAGAACCGCTTTTTGGGAGCTCCCTTCATGCTCAGAGACGTATTTCGTGCACTACCATACAATGTTCCATTTCCGGTAAGCGAGGGATCGGAAGAAGTTAGCAAAGAATAGTTGGTTTTCAGAGCCTTAAAGTGCCGTTTCAGACTTTTATAGGAAGTTAACTGCACATTGAATGGTACATGTGAGGATGGCATCGGAAACTACGTCAAATATGCTAAAAACTGAAGTTTGTCAAAAGTACATGTTGGGTAAGGGTAGAGCTTTCTTAAGCGTCGTCGGCTCGGCTGATGGTAGTGGGCTGATGACCGAATGGACAGTGTGGTGGGCTCGCATTGGAGCATTTAGGCGGAAAAAGGATACTTTGTGGTTCAGCTTCTCCCCATGGAAGCTTTTGAAATTTCCATCGTCTCCTCAGAATCGGCACCGAATGGGTTTGGCGACGAGATTGATGTTACATTCAATCAGGACCATCAACCCCCTTAAATAGTTTCTATAGAAAAATGGCGGAAGATATCTAGGTCCAAACGGCGCCAACGTTAACTACGGACGCCATGTGATATAAAGGGACTCTGATAGCTGCCTCAGCAAACGTTTTAGAGAAACCAGATTTTTGTCCCAACGCGTCGGACAGGCAGTGACCAACAGGCAACTACAACTCCCCGGAGGGCGGCTTGAGCCAGCGCCGGGTGGAAATCAAGCGGTGCGCTCTGGTGTTTCACGGACACCATTCGCTTTCAAGGGAACATTTCCCAGCACGTCCTTGGAATCGCTCCAGCTATGTAGATGGACATCTTATTGGAGGCAGCCGAGCACGCCCGATCTACGACGTCTTGATGGAAACAGAATCTGGCGACTTGAAGCCCTCGTGAGGGTCTGTTGTCCATCACCAGCTCACTGTCTGTGTACTGGAATTACCTATTATTTGAGGAGAATCACGAGGAAACTCATTATCAGTTCGCCGGCTGGTGTGCACTGTGAGCAACTGACTTGTCGATACCCAATTTTCCGAAACTGGGTCAAAATCTCAATTTCCTCTAAAATTTCCTACTGAGGGATATTTTTGCCCTAATCACGAAGCCATGGCATCCGTTTTCTCGCGACTGTGTTCGATTACGTTATTAAGACCTTTCTGGCATAATAACTTTTCCGCGCAGATCAAGATGAAAATCTGAGTCTTAATAGTTAATGATTTTTTGATGATGAACTCAATACCTACTAGGCTCTGATGCCCATATGAATACCTCAAGCAGCTGAAATGCAAAAATTTCGCGTCCCCGTGCGTATGAACTTGGACCACTTCCTCACGCAGTTTTGCCTTCGCGCAGCCCTCAACGAAAACGCGACTTCGGTTTGTCACGCTAACTCCTGGTTCCTATTACATGGCAGGAAACTTTTTGGAAACATCGTGCTACCACGCTGAAAGGCTACCGTGTAAACGTGCATGGTGAGTCTATTGAATATTACGAGCAAATCGCCCTACATGGGACTCTGAGAACGCGATTTCAAGCACAAGGTTTTCTCTTACAAAGCACCTGGTCATTCGTGTCAGGACTCTCGAAGAAACTTGAGTAGGGCAAAATCCGAGTTGGTATTGCGAAATACATGGCATCCTCCAGGACTAGGGTTATCACGCATCCCAAATCCTCCCTTTCTCCGCCTAAAGCCCAATCCTATTTCTTTTTTTTCCAAAAAAGGATGATCTAACACAGCCGTTTGAATGCACTGCATCGACAATGTGCTGTGTCTTACGATAGCGCCAAAATCAACTCCCCCTGCCTTTGATTCGGGCACAGCTAGTCGGCGAGTAGAAGCGGCTAAGTAACAAAAAGGTGTGGAGAAAAAAAAACCTCGGAAGTTTGGCTTAGAGAGCGCACGCATGCGAATTTCATTCAGAACATGTTGAGGATTTAATTCAATCTAAGCGTACACAATCACCTGTGTTTGGGCAATAGGTACACAAGTCGGTAATTCGTCTTCACTAATTAGTTAAGAGCAGGTAGCCAACCCCAAAAGATGAAGGAAAGTTAGACTGTTCTGAGACAAAGGTGTATCTTGAACTCGGCCTTCAATCGTACGCTCAGGAATGATCATCACCTGCCCCTGCTTCACTCTTGCCAATACTGGTGAATAAGGAAAAGCTACAATGCGAAAGGAAGAATGAGGTAGCCAAACCTAAGATGAAGGGAAGTTAGACTGTTTTGAAACGGTTGCGTGCATGTTCTACCATCATATAGACCGCAGTGCTGGAGAGGCCGTTCGCTGGTGAAGGACACTTCTCAATATGGAACGTATCTTTCCCACACGGCGAAAAACTCCGCTCAGATCGTGACGTGAAAAATGTCCTCAAACTTATCCATCAAGGTGGAGTGCACTTTTTGTGGGATGGAGAGTACGGTGTTCGTATGTGATAAAAAAGGAGAGGAAAATAGGCCTCAACATGTCTGAAATACAGCTATACAGGGGTGGCCAAAAAAGAGACACTTCACTCCACATTTCAGACAGCATTAATCACACTTTGCTAAACTCAAACCGACTGCTCCCAACTTATATTGAAGAGCACATCCCAATCTATCAATAAACGTTATAATAGCTTTCTGCACTAACCAAGACATCACAAGAATTTGCCATGGGGGTCTAGCGCGGTTCGAGCTCAACTGGAATTCGACGGATCATGGACCATTACGACAGTGTCTGAAACGCTAGTCCGAAGGAGTCTTGCAAATTCATAGTTACTGTCCCTAGGAAGCAATCTGAAAGTGAACCGATTGAAGAAATTTCGTAGCAGCTTCAGGCTGGAACGATTACGGTAGGCCTTCTTGAGCTCAACGGTGATGGAAGATGACGTCATATTTTGAGGACGGTGAGGGCAGTGGAGGAGGGCCTGCTTCTACTTATGGGGACATCTAAGGGATATTTTGCCGTAAAACTTTCATCAACAGCGGCACCTGTGCGAAGAAAGTTTGATGATGTGCGCCATAGGCAAAGTGTTCTTTTTTGGCAAGATCTGTATACTCGCTGTGGGTTCGCAGTTATGCGGTTCTAGGGCATTTCCTTATTTTTCCTACTCAGCGGCAATATATTGAATTTCCCCACAAGTACCCTTAGATCCAAATCTTGCTGATCACAGGGAATATTGTTCTTCATCGAGATTTGCGAACAAGTGTCTGAG